CCAACTGAAGGAGAAGAAATCAAATTAAATAAATACTTATTTTTTAATAAAAGAATCTCATACTTTGAGGCCCAGCCCGGTGGGACAGTAGGTAATGAACTGATCTATATGCGGAGAGCCACGCCCAGGTGCATGCTATGCATATGTGCGTGCATGCCCAGGATCCTAACAAGCTGGAGGGTTGGGAAAAGGGTATCGCTGTGTGATAAGGCCCTGTTAAGGGCGCTTCTCGTCCAACTCACTCACTCTTCACACACACGCAGGCACAGCACACAAGGTCCCTTACCATGAAGAAAACATCAGAATTTAAAAAATCAGAACTTCCTACTTTGAGCAGTTTGTGCAGGTTTTCCTGGGAAGCGGTGGGAGGCAGACAGGTGGAGGATGCCCACTGATGCATCGTGTGGAGCAGAAGAGCTGAGCAGATCCTGTCTTGTGATACGCCGTTTGCCCCTTATAAAGCATTTTTTTACAGCCAGAACAAAAAACCTGAATAGCTATGGCTGGAACTGAAGGAAGCACTATATTTGAGCCAGGTGATGCAAGAGAGAGCTGGAGGCCTGGGGTCAGCTGCTGGGCTAGGGAAACAAAGTAAGAAAAGCAGGTTTAGAACCAACACTAATGCATACGCCTTCTCCCCAGGACAGAGTCCCTCCGCCTTGGAACCACTAAGGAAACAGCAGTCAGTTTCGAACTGCTTTTTACCATGGCCCACAGGAAAAAAAAAAAAAACAACAAACACAATTTACATTACAACCCAATTCTCACATATATATGTCTGTGTCTGTGTCTGTGTCTGTGTGTGTGTGTGTGTGTGTGTGTGTGTGTGTATAATACCAAAACAGAAGTTTCATGAATCAATACGTGCACATAATTTACACTACAACCCAGTTCTCACATATATATGTCTGTGTGTGTGTGTATAATAACCAAAACAGAAGTTTCATGAACCAATACGTGCATCGATATAATACACTCCTTACTACATTTATCATATTCTGCTATTACCTTATTTAACCCATGATTTTAAGTGCTGGGAAAGACCAGCTACACAGTTTTTAAAAAAACACTGTTTTAAAAGGGTGAGAAAGACTTAAATTTTACCAGCCAGAATAAACAAGTGTTCACTGAGATTATTTATATAGCGGTTTCTTACCAAGAGGACTGCCACTAACTGAAAACACAGCACTAATTTTCAATTCACTTTGAGTTTTTGGCAACTGGGCACTCCTATACTCCTAAAACAAAACAAAACAATAAAAAGGTAAAGAAAAAGGGAAATGAATAGAGTATACCTAAATAAATTAGAAAAAATATTAGCAAAAAATTATTCTATCATATTAATCTCATACATTCCAATCATCAGTCCCTTCAGAACTTCCAAGTCAAAATTTACAAGTTAGTTGACTGGATTTCATCTTCACAGAAATAAGGAGCCGACAGGTGGCATGATGGTTGGGGTGCTGGACTCCTACATGGCCAACCATGGTTTGAGTCCTGGACCTGGCAGCTTGCTTTCTCATTTTCCCTTTCTCTGTCTCTCTCTCTGGTCAAATTAGAAAAGTAATAATGATAAATAAGATTAAATGAATAATTATTTTTAATAATTATTTTTGTTTTTATTTTTTATTTGATCAGAGAGAAAGAGAGAGAAGGAAAGTGAACGAGCAAGCAACCAGGTCTGGGACTTAAACCATGGTTGGCCATGTGGGAGTCCAGCGCCTTAACCACCATGCCACCTGCCGGCCCCAATAATTCTTTTTCTTTTTTATAATTCTTTATTTACTTATTCATCCATTTATTTTAATTTGACCAGAAAGAGAGACAAGGGAGAGAGAAGGAAAGTGAACGAGCAAGCAACCAGGTCTGGGACTTAAACCATGGTTGGCCATGTGGGAGTCCAGCGCCTTAACCACCATGCCACCTGCCGGCCCCAATAATTCTTTAAAAAAAAAAAAAAAACTTTACAAAAATGATCTTTCAGAATTGAAGAATCTTTCCAAATACTTACATATATTCTCAAATGTACATTAATATATGGAAATAATACATAGCTCTTCCAATGCTGAGCACTACCTGCTTTTAGGCTACGTGTTTTTTTTCAACTTTATTTATTTTATTTTAAAAATTTGAACAGAGAGGGACAGAGAGAGGGAAAGTGAAAAACCAAGCCACCAGGTCCAGGACTCAAACCATGTGGGAGTCCAGTGCCCTTAGCCACCACACCACCTGCTGGCCCCATAGGCTATGTTTATAAGGGACCAATAAATGAAATTAATGGGTTTAGAGTTTAGATCAAATTTGTAATTTTAGATAACAGACTTATAAGCTATCATCTGTTCTTGGTAGAAAAGGTAAGAAAGTTTCTATGAAATTTGTTTTTTACACATACAATCACCACAGCCTATATCAGATTTACCCTAAAATATTCTTTTAAATCTTTTAAAATAAATATAATCATGAAACAAAAAATTCTTCTCAAGTTTTGCTATATGACGCATGGGCATGCTGGAGAGAGAGAGAAAGACGCTATGGGGATGGCCACACTACATCTCCTCTCAGGATTCTGGGCACACAGTACAGGCCCAGTGTGTTTTTCGAGCCACCCAGACTGAAACACACGTCGGTCACGAGGAATACAGCCACCTTAACCTTCATACCATCCGTTGGCCAATGAAACAAATTTTTAAAAATATAAGGTACCTATTTTGAAAAGGACTGTCCTTTGTTCAGAGGTCATGACCGTCCTACTTTGAATGCATGTGTACTTGTGTATATGTGTATTTGTGTGATATTAAATAGCTTTAGATCCTTCAAAACAGAAGTTTTTTGGTTTTTTTAATCTTGCTTTTCTGAAATAATGAATATCATTAGATAGTATTTTTTTTAAGATTTTTTTTTTTTTACCTTAAGGAGCAAGCACTTGCTGGAGACAGAGGGAAAGTGAGAAATCCACCACGTCCCCACCCCGGGAAGATGGCAATGCTGCAATCCCTTCTCTTCCATTCTCCTCTCGGGATAATAGGGGTTCTTTGTTTTTTATTGGAGAGTTTTTTTTTCCTTTTTCTTTTTTTTTTTTTTTTTGAGAGGTTTTTGTGATAGGGCACGTGCACTTGCCAGACAGACAGAGAGAGAGAGAGAGACAGACAAAAAAGGGAGAAATCATCCCCCAGGGGGGATGGCCACTCCGCAATCCTTTCTCCTCCATTCTCCTCTCGGGATAATAGGGGTTCTTTGTTTTTTATTGGAGAGTTTTTTTTTCCTTTTTCTTTTTTTTTTTTTTTTTGAGAGGTTTTTGTGATAGGGCACGTGCACTTGCCAGACAGACAGAGAGAGAGAGAGAGACAGACAAAAAAGGGAGAAATCATCCCCCAGGGGGGATGGCCACTCCGCAATCCTTTCTCCTCCATTCTCCTCTCAGGATCTTGGACAGGCACGCACATAGGCCCAGCTAAGTTTAAGCCATTTAGCAAAATAAATGACTATATCAGTTTCAAAATTACTTTTGGAATTTCTTACACTACTGAATGCCAGAAAGTAGGAACTACTGCATTAATTCACTACTTGCCGGAACGTAAATTACAGTACCAAAACAGGAGCCTGCCAATAAGACAAGAATTATTTTTCTGGGACCAGGAAATGGCATAATGGTTACGTCGTTGGGCTCCCACATGGCCAACTACACTTCAAGTCCAGAACCTGATGGCTTAAAACTCACACCAGGCATGTGTGCATGCATGCCCAAAATCCTGAGGAGAGTGGAGAAGGGATTGTGGCCTGGTCGTCCCCACAGAGAGTGATTTCCAGCATTCTGCCTCTCTGTCTCTGGCGAGCACATGTGCCCTATAGCAAAACTCTGGGGGAAAAAAAAAAAGAATTGTTTTTCCCTCTCAGAGGAAGAAAGTAAAGCTTAGAGATATTCAGCAACTTGTCAAGATCAAAGACACTAAGTGCTCCTAAGTGCTCCGATGGGATCAAACCTAGGTTCCTCTATTCTAAAACCAAGTTCTCTCTCAGATGAACAGATACAATGCAATTGCTGCACTGAATTCAAACCCTGGCCCAAGTGAAGTTAAGTTCCCGTTACGGTCGCTCCCTTTCTCTCGTAGATTTATCATAACACATCACGGCATATTTATTTGAATGATAATTTGATTAACGCCTAAGACCCCTGTTCTTCCCCACACACTAGACTGAAAGGACCAAGCCCGCTCTAAACAAGAGACCACACCCGTTTCCACCTCTGCATACTCAACGGCCAACACAGGTGGCGTCACAGAGCAGAGACGGCCGTAAGCTCTGCCGCACAGAAACACGTGATCTTAGCTGAGAAACAACTTACTCCATCTCTCTTAGTTTCAATGTCTCTACCTGTAAAATAAAGATACTATTACCTAATCCCCAGGGCCATCATGGGCAGAGGGAGGACAGATGATTTAACACAAATAAAGGCCAATGTCTTACTGTTGGCCAAAAGTAAAGATCTGTACACAAAACTGCCAGCTCTTGTACTTACAAGTTTCATAATTGTGGCATTTAACAAATAGTTGTTACAGACCAATCCCATAGTTGAGTGGTTAGGGAAGCCAGATCCCACACAACCAATGCGGTTTGAATCCTAGACCCAGTGGTTCGAAAAACATGCTGGGTACGTGTGTGCATGCTCCAAATCCCAACGGGATGGAGAAACGGAGAAGGGACCGTGGCATGACTGTGCGGTACTGAGGAGTGCTTTCTCCCGTCCCCTACCTCTCTTTTTGGCAAGCATACATACCCTCTGGCAAAATCTTGTTTTTAAAATAATTTTTTTTTCTTTTCTTTTTTTTTTTTAATTTCCTATAGCGCAGGGACCAGCAGTTAGTGTAATGGGTATGTCGCTGGACTCCCACGTAGTCAACCGCAGTTCGGGTACTGGACCGGTGGCTTAAACTCACGCCAGGCGCATGTGCATGCATGCCCAAGATCCTGAGAGGAGAAGGGAGGAGAAGGGATTGCGGCGTGGCCATCCCCCCTGGGGGGGGGTGATTTCTCGCTTTCTATCTCTGTCTCTGTCTGTCTGGCGAGTGCATGTGCTCTATAGCAAAAAAAAAAAAAAAAACTCTCCAAAATTTCCTATAGCGCACATGTGGCTCACCAGAGAGAAAGAAAGCAAGATGCCAGGTCCAGGCCTCAAACCATGGTCATCAATGTGGGAGTCCAGCGCCTTAACCACCATACCAGCAGGCTGGCAAAAAAGTATTTTTTCTTTTCTGGAGAGGTTTTTGCTATAGGGTGCATGTACTCGCTAGTAAGACAGAGAGAGACAGAGAGACAGAAAATGAGAAATCACCCCCCAGAGGGGATGGCCACACCACAATCCCTTCTCCTCCATTCTCCTCTCAGGATCTTGGGCACACATGTACACGCACCCAGTGTGAGTTTAAGCTGCCGAGTCCGGCACTCAAACGACGGTCAACTACATGGGAGTTCGGCAACATGGCCATTTCGGTAACTGCTGGTCCCTCCCCCACATTTTTCAGTGTTAATGATCTGACTTCTATGTCCTCCTAGGCCAAAGTTCATTGATTTTAGGTGACAAATAGCCGTTGTTAATAGTTTATTTCATATTTTGCTCTATTTTTGCATATTTAACCATCTGCCATGGTTGTTTACCTTGTACCAACAGGCAAATAAAAATAAAAATAAAAGCTTAAAAACAAAATTCTTTTTTAAATTATTTTATTTACTTTTACTCATTCATTTACTTTTTTAACTTGACCAGAGAGAGACAAACAGAGAGAAGGAAAGTGAGAAGGCAAGCCCACCAGGTCCAGGCCTCGAACCATGGTCAGCCATGTGGAAGTGTCCAGCACTTCAACCACACACCATCTGCTGGTCCCCTAACAAAATAATTCTTAAAAAATAATAATAATAATTAAATATGGGACCAGCAGTTGGCCAAAAAAATTTTTTTAAGATATGTGATTAAATGTAATATTAAAAATATAATAAAATTAAAAGAAAAAAAAAAAAGCACTACGCTGACATGGTCACGGTTCCCACGAGCTTGGTTCTTCAGGATGAACTGAATGGCTGCTATCACTGCTTACAAATGCGTCTGGAGCTTGATGGAGCTTATGTTGAGAAATCAAGTTTGTATTTTTGGGAACCAGCAGTTAGCATAATGGCTATGTCGCTGGACTCCCACGTAGTCGACCACAGTTCGCGTCCTGGACCCGGTGGCTTAAAGCTCACGCCG